GGTCTCACCCAACTGGGGAGAAGTTTGGCCGCTCCATGAAACACTTAGGTTTGGGAGCCACTAGCATTATGGGATGCAGCTGTCCTCTAGAGCTTTCTCAACCTCAGCACTATTATACTTTGGGTAGGATATTTCTTTGTGGTGGGGTGTCCTGTGCATTGTAGGATGTTAGCAGCTGGCATCTAGCTCCTAGATGCTAGTAGCACTCTCCTCCCTAGTAGTAATAAAACTGTCTCTAGGCCAGGCTCAGTGGCTCAGCCTGTAATCCCATGCTTTGGGGGGCTGAGGTGAGTGAACTGCCTGAGCCCGTGGGTTTGAGACCCACCTGGACAACTTGGCGAGACCTCATCTCTACAATACATCAAAAAATTAGCTGGGCATGGTAGTGTGTGTTTGTAGTTCCAGCTACTTGGAAGTCTGAGGCAGAAGGATCCTCGGAACCCAGCAGGTTGAGGCTGTGGTGGCCAGGAGCATGCCACTGCACTCCAGTCTGGGCAACAGAGTGAGAGAGACTCCAACTAAAAACAAAACAAAAACAAAAATCAACCAACCAACCAACAAACAAAATACTGTCTGTAGACATTGCCAAAGGTCTGCATTATCTGTAGGGATAGGGTCACAAATGGACCCCTTCCTCCAACTCAATTGAGACTCACTAGTCTACAGCAGTATTTTTCAAATTGTGGTCTCAATCCATTAATGTATTGTAAACTCAATTTAGTGGATTGACAACAGCAATACAAAATAAAATGTAAGAGAATAAAAAGTATTCAAATTCATGTTTTGCCAAATTTTGGTTTCAATTTTATGCATGGAAATACATATACATATTCTGGATTAAGATGTCACATTTTCCTTGCTAGGGTATGTGGTCAAAGAGTCTGAAAATTATATCTAGGCTGGGTGGCTCAGCCTAATTCCAGCACTTTGAGAAGCCTAGGCAAGTGAATTGCCTGAGCCCATGGGTTCAAAACCAGTCCAGGCAACTTGGGTGTGGTAGCATACACCTGTAGTTCCGGCTATTTGGAAGGCTCCAGCCTGGACAACAGAGTGAGACTCCACCTCAAAAAAAAAAAAGTTACTGCTCTAGAGGCATTCTACATTTTATTTTATTAAATTTTTTTCTCTTGAAGAATTTTTCTTGCGATAAATGACAAATCATGGCAAGTTGTTTGGTGACCGTAAATAAATGTAGGTAGCAAGGAGAGTGAGACTATATAAAGCATATGTATATATTTGCACCTTGATTATTTATATATGTATTTTTAATCACAAGGATGCTATGAAGCTTAACTAGTTTTGACAAAGCATTTAAAAATACCCAACTAAAGCATATCGTAGCTAGATACAATATCATTACACATAATAATATTTTGCATTTCTATGTCACTTCCATTTGAGACTCTAAGTCCATTGATTCATTTATTTCCTCCGTTTATGATTCTCAGTTCATCTCAGGGAAACTGAGGCACAAGCCAATGTTTACCTGATGTAATATAAAAAAGACAGAGAATGGATCTGGCCTCCTGTTTCCTTTACAACACCCTAATCATTTAAAAATATTTTTATACATAGTAAATGTATTTTACGCATAGCAAATATACATTTCTATTTTATAGTATATATTTTACTGTATTTTATATAGTACATTTTATACTTTTTAAACATCTACATTCTCTCTGCTATGCTGGTAACCTTTGGAAAGTAAGGTAACTCTTCTTGGATTGTAAATCTGTCAGAGCCTAGCAGGACATGGCCACACCGTTCGTGGGCAGCTGGCAGGCCTGAGAGATGCCAATTACATTGGCTCAGTCCTCCAAAGAAACGCTTTCATTATGGATTCATGTGTTTAATGCTAGGCTAATGGCTGCTATCTAAGGTTGCTATATGAAAAAGGAACATATCTGCATCTTTTGTAATAATTTAGTTATATAGGGTGTGATGATCAGGGCTACATGCTGACTTTCATGTTCTGTAAGTATCTTTGCCTTCATGGGCTCCTTCCTTCTTTAAAAACATAGTTAGAGGCCGGGCTCGGTGGCTCAGTCTATAATCCCAGCACTTTGGGAGACCAAGGCAAGTGGATTGCTTGAACCCGTGGGTTCGAGACCAGCCCGGGCAACTTGGCAAGACCTCATATCTACAATAAATCAAAAATTAGCCGGGCATGGTCCAGCTACTTGGAAGGCTGAGGTGGAAGGGTCACTGGTGCCCAGCAGGTTGATGCTGAGGTAGCCATGAGCATGCCACTGCCCTCCAGCCTGGGTTACGGAGTGAGACTCTGACCAAAAAAAAAAAAAGAAATGAGAGTTTATGACTGAGATGATATGCAGACAGGTATAATCTAAGATGGATTATATCTAATCTTTCTGAGTTAAAAATAATTGAAACATTTTTGTGGGTTCCTAAAAGTATTGTGGGCCCTGGGCACTATAGCACTATACCTTCTTCAGTGTCTAATGAAGAAATGAACCCTGGGATTAGTGCATTGAAATATTAGCTGATACTTTCCCCTTTCATTTGTATGCTATAGGGAGGTACTCTGGTTTTATTGCCTTGAGAAAGAATGACCCAGGGGGCAGCGGAAGAGTCAAATTCTTGGATATGGAGTTTAAAAACTTGGGTTTTAGGATGAGCACTATAGATTTGGGAAAACAGATGAAGAGTCAGGCCAGGCCACCCTGTCCCATAGTAAAGGAAGAATTAATGGACAAAGAAAAGAGAAAGCCAAGAGGGGAAGCTGAGACTGGATTTGTCTGAGATCCTGAAACTGAATTAAGATTCTGGAAATCTTGGAGCCAGATGGGATCGATCATTGCTTCTCTCCCTCCCCCACATTTCCAGGGCAGTATCTGTGGAACTACTGAAGGGTGGGACATTCACATGTCCCCAAGCCCAGAGTGTTGGGGAGGTGAAACACATTTTCTGATGGTGGGTCAGGTAAATAACCCAGTGATGGTGTCTGGGTTTCTTGGAACCTGGGTGGAAAGAAACTTGAGAAAGATGTTGATGGGCTAGAGCGTGGCACCTTGTGGCAAAGTGTACTCTACCCAGGACTCTGTAATAGCAAGACCAGCAGGACAAGAGACCTGCATGGATTCAAATGGAATACCACAGGAGAAAGAGGATGCTTCTGCAGATGCAAGCAAGAAGGAATGACAGCAAAGATGAATTCCTGTCATCAAGGCCCCCCACATACCCCTTCAGAGCTGGAAGAAATCCCGAATTGATCAAGAGTCAAATTTTTTCACTTGACAAAATGAGAACTTGGGAGAGAAATTAAGTTCAATTATGGAAAACTAAAGTTGCAATTGCTATATGCCAGGTTTTGGAGCCCAATTAGTAGTTACTACACATAGATGCTTACAGTGCTTTACAGCATATGAAGGACCTCCTACTTTATTTTTACATTTTAATCCTTATTAAAATCTTAAGTGTTATCATTTCTATCTTCATTTTATACATGTGAAAATGGAAACCACTTGCTCCAGGTCATACAGCTAGGACCTCATTGAATAAAGACTCAAACCCACGGTCCCATTCACTGTACCGCTCCTGGTTCTTGATGCTGTTCAATGTTCCCTTTAAGGACTTAGTGAGAGCTTCCTGTCAGGCTGTCGTGAAATGCTGGTAGGCTGCAAAAACGCATTTAGTGTTTTGCAATGTGATGCTCAGATGTAAGGAGGGAAGAGGGATCACGTGTGGCGTTCTGCCTGCTGGCCCACCTGGGGTTCCTTTGCTGCTAGGCTCTCCTACAGAGCTCTGCTCCTATACTCAGAGGTGGGGAGGCCGGTTGCTATGGGGATGCAGTACAGGGGCTGAGCCCCAACACAGTGGGATAGGATGGGAGGGAGACAGGTCCTAAAAGGTCTCATGATGTCGATGCTGCGTGTCCCACTGGGTTAAGGGAAGCTGTTCTGCTTCTACAACCTTCTACCCACACTCATCACATTGTAGATCTTTCTTGTAGAATTGTCTTGACTCTCTGTTCAAACTATAAGCAACTGAAGGCAGAACTGCGTCACATTTGCTCTCCATTGCATTCCCAGTACCTGGTGAAATGCCTGGGACTCGTGGGAGGCACGTAAACATAGTTGCTGAATAAATAAGCATATGGATGGATGAATTCTTGGATACCTGAGTATCCCTTAAAAAATCCTAGTCCTGTATCCCTTACAGGAAGGCCACGTCTGAGGAGTGCTTGGTCTCTGTGTCCTTTATTTCACTTGAGAAAGCTCTATCAAAACAGCTGCTTCTGTGGTCATCTACTTCACTTCCCTTTTCTTGCCCTGTGCCCCACATTCTTCCTTTCTTATTTTCGCTAACCACTCTTATGGTCAAGATGTTTTTGGTCCAGGAATGTTTTTCCCTCTTCCATCTACATTTAAAAAAAAAATTATAAAGATGTGGGGTACAATTCAGGATTAAGTATACAAACATTGATTATGCAGGTACTCTTGTTCTTCCATCTACATTTTTAAGAACTGTTTTATTCTAGCTTATATTTAATTGTCAGCTTCCTTTATACCCTCTTTAAAAGCAGGAAGCACAGGTAATAAATCAATATGAACAAACACTTTGCTGTCTCATTTTGAAAAAAATTGTAATTAAAATTCATGGTAGAAAGACTTTCTAAAGTGGCAAGTTGCCTTTCTAAGATATTACCATGTCTTATTTTAAAATGTACTGTTGGTAACTAATCTACATTATTAAATAAGACTCAGTTCACTGGAGTCACTGAATAATTACTGTGTTGGATAAGTATTGTTTTTGTGAGATTGTTAATTTTATCACATGTGCTAAGTTGCTTTTAGGAAGTAGTCTCAGCATTATATGAAAAGAGATGGAAAATACTTTGTATGTCACAAATCCAGTAAATTTATGTTTAAAAGAATGCCACTAATATTGTACATTTTCACTGGGTAATTTTTAAAAATTTAAATGAAATAAATACATATTAATAAGAGTTATTCCTTAATAGGCTCCTATTTTTTCTTTAGGCACTGTGACAGAGAATCTTTTCCCAAAGATTATGACATAGAGGGTCCTGAGGAAGTAAAAAAATTGTGTAATTCAACATATCGGCGACTTGGATGTGATGAACCCCCAGTAAGTATTTGCTGTTATTTCCTTTGTTTGAAGTCTGGAATCTTTGTCCTAGTGAAACACATGAGAACGAGAAGGGGGAGCATTTTTGCAGCCCCACCCCTCCTTAGCTCTGTTACTCAAGCAGGTCACAGCCACTGTGTGCTTCAGCAACACTGCCTGTGAAATGTACCTGCTTCATAAGGCGATTGGGGCAATTAAATGAGGTGAAATAAGCAGAGTACTTGATGCAGTGCCTGGCGCATAGCAGGTGCTTAGGGAACTGTTACTGTTGTAATGATGCTGTTGTGCATGCTGCAGTGGCATCTTGCTAGATGTCTCCTTTCACCTCCACAATGACCCTGTGAAGTAGGTATTATTATGTCTGAGAACCTAAATGTGAAAGGTCATGCCTGAGGTGGCAGAGAGAGAGAGAGAGAAAGGGAGAGAAAGAGCAAGGGGGGGGAGCGGGACAGCAGTGACCAAGCATTTGTGAGTGTGTGAGTTAGCTTGAGTTCACTCATGGGACCCACTGGAGAGAATCTACCAGAACCCCTTGAAAGAGGCTGCCTGGGGGTAGGAGGGGGGGGGGGGTTGGTGGTGCAAAGAGTCCCAGCACAAGAGACCCTCCCAATACCCAAAGCTCAGGGAAGGAATTATATCGGCCAGGAGGAGACTGACTTTCAGTAAGCTGCATTTGGAAGTCCTCAGTGAGAGAATCTTTGAAAACAATGACAAAAGACACTTCTCAAAGGAAGACATACAGGTGACCTACAAACATATGAAAAAATGTTCAACATCACTAATCATCAGAGAAATGCAGAGCAAAAACGCAATGAGATGCCATCTCATACCAGTCAGGATGGCTTTTGTTAAAAAGTCAAAAAACAACAGATGTTGGCGAGGAAGCAGAGAAAAGAGAATGTTCCTATACTTTTGGTGGAATGCAAGCTAGTAAAACCCCTGTGGAAAACTGTTTGGAGATTTCTCAGAGAACTAAAACTAGACCTACCACTCAACTCAGCAATACTACTACCAGGTATATACCCAAAGGAGCACAAATCACTCTTCAAAAAGTGTGCATGTTTATTGCAGCACTATTCACAACAGCAAAAACATGGTACTAGCCTAGGTTACTCATCAATAGTGGAATGGATAAGAAAAATGGGAGGCTGAGGTGAGTGGATTGCCTGAGCCCGCGGGTTCGAGACCCGCCTGAGCAGCAAGACCTCATCTCTACAATAAATCAAAAAACCAGCCAGGCGTGGTAGCGTGCACCTGTAATTCCGGCTACTCGGAAGGCTGAGGCGGAAGGATCGCCGGAGCCCAGCAGGCGAGGCTGCGGTGGCCGGGAGCGGCCACTGCACTCCAGTCTGGGCGACAGAGTGAGACTCCAACTCAAAAAAAGAAAGAAAGAAAGAAAGAAAAATGTGACACATGGAATACTATGCAGTCATAAAAAGAATAAAATCATGGGTGCAGCTAGAGACCATCATCCTGAACGAATTATCACAGAAGCCGAAAACTGAAAACCACATGTTCTCTCTAATATGCGGGAGAGAAACACTCTAAGCACACAGGCACAAGGAATGGAAAAACAGACACTGAGACACTCCTAAAGGGAGGAGATAGAGCAAGGGATAAGGGCTGAAAACATCCACCGGGTACCATGACCACTACCTGGGTGATGGGCACAATAGAAGTCCAAGCTTCACCATCACACAATGTTCTGTAACAAACCTGCACATCTACCCCATGAATTAAAATAGAAAAAAGTGTCCTAGAAGAGGAGTCAATTTTGAATGCCATCCAAGCCCAGGGGCACTGGGTCAAGAGGGCAAGGGCACTCTGATTTCTCCCCATCAGCCTGGCCCTAGAGGGGAAATGAAGGGAGACAGCCAGGCTCCACCCACTGCAAGCTTCCAGGCCTAAAGCAGGTGGCACCTCCTGTCTACTACAGTTATATATTTTGATTAGTTCACTGAACTTGAAACTTTCATAACTAAAATCCCTCTTGAGATTTGAAGGGCCCAGAAAACCATGAGACTTGCCTAAGATTTTCATGTGGGAGGGCAATGGAGGTTTGATTAAAATAAAATTGCTTCATGATTGCATCTTACTGATGCAATAGGACCAATTCAATAAGATGTTTACATTAAAAGTGCTTCATTTCATTCTCTGGACAACTCTTCAGGCGGGTATCAGACATGACCCACATTGTATAGATAAGAAAACTGGGACTGAGTGAAGCTTAATCACTGGTACAAAGTCAAACAGTTACAAAGTGTATTGAAAATTAAAATCCATCTTTCTTCTCTGGCTCTAAAATCTGAAATCTTAGAAACTTTTCCAAACTGTGTCTTGGAATACCAAACTGCTCCACTTCTAGCTCATTGGCCTTTTTACTCCTCACACTGCATCCTCTTTGCAGAAAATAAAGCTGATTATTTTTTGCTCTGGCTTGGGTATTGTATGTATCTCACTGCATATGTGTTGAGGCTTTGATTTCTTACATCTTAGCTATAACTTCTGTCCTATTTCCTGCATTATGTCCACACACATGCTGGCTAGCCCTGTTCCCATCTGTTTTCCCTCCTGAATGCCTCTTTACCATTTTTATTTTGTTTTGTTTTGTTTGTTTGCAAGATTGTAGCTGAGTGCCTGCTTCTTACGTCCACCAGCATTTCCACTGAGCTGATCAAAGGTCTTTTCGTTTTTAAATGCTGTTGCTGCAGCTAATGTGAACATCATTTGTGACAAAATTTAAAACGGGACTCTCTTTGCCTGCATTTTGGCTAAGGCTTCAAAAGTCTAAGAACAAAACAATAGCCTCATGTGCCAAAGTGAAGAAGTACACTTATGCAAAAGCCTCAAAGAAAACTCACATGAAGGATATAAGAAGATTGAAATGCAAGAAATCAAAACAGGAATTTGATAGTAGAAAGAGGGTTTTGAGAAGTGTGCTCTAAAGTCTCATCTGCAAAGCTCCTTAAATTTCTGGTGAAGCGTCAGACCCAAGATCTGGTGATCTGTCTGAAGAAGCAGAGTGCAGAGAGGGAGGCAGCTCCACGCCCCCCAGAGGTTGGGCAAGGATGTGTGAGTGCTTGGGTCCAGTTGTGGCTTCTGTGGTTCAGATATTGGCCGGAAGAGGAAGATGACAAGGAGCCATTTCAGAGTCCGTCCAAGAGCACCTCTTGTAGGGATAGGTGGGGAGCTGGCTGGATTTCCAGGGGCATTCAAGTCCAGCATCCTGTATGATGAGACAAGCCAATGAATGTTCCCAGAGGGGATCCCAAAGTCTACCAGAACATCTCAAGAAAGTTGACTTTGAACATTCACCCCGCCTGAGGGGGCCAAAGATAGACATGACTGGAGAAAACCAACACAAGATTACATTCTGCCATTCCTACAGTTACCTCTCTCTGCTTCCTCATATCCTCACACTCTTGGCATCAACCCTCAATGAGACAGAAGGTGGTGGGGAATAGGGAAGAAGTCCAAGTGGGACAACTGAGAAGAACCCAACTGTACCCCTGCAGTAGACCAGGCCAAGCAGGCCCCAGGTGGAGGAGTGAATCTTTAAATGAAGTTTAAGTTTATGTGGGACTGGAAAAATGCCAGTTTATTTATCTCAGTAAGACTCTTCAGGGACAGAAGTAGCTAGAGAATTTTTATGTTATCTGAAAGTGACTAGATAAGCCCTGGAACCTGTCTTATATTTCATCAAGGAACGCAAGAAAGGACTAGTCCCTCCAAATAACTATGGGTGGGCAGCGATGAAGAATAGATTTGTTTTCTGATTGTACCCCCTTACCAATTTCCACTTAGTCAATGAGCCAGTTACCTGTTTGTATGTAAAAGAGTAGCCCATTCTTATCATCCCTCTCTATCTCCTTTGCTTTATTTTATGGACTTAAATTACTAGAATATTTTAGACTTATTTGTCTGTCTCCCTTACTAGAATACAAGCTCCATTGAAAGCAGGACTTTGGTCTGTTTTGTTCCCTGTTGAATCCCTAGTTTCTAGAAGAATGCCTGGCACATAATGGGCACTTAATAAATATTTGTAGAAAGAAGAAAGGAAGAAAAGGAGGGAGGAAGAAAGGAAAGAAGAGAGAGAGGGGGAAGGAGGGAGAGAGAGAGGGAGGGAGGGAGGAAAGAAGGAGAGGAGGAAGGAAGGAAGGACTACACTCAGCAAACATTTTTTTTTTTTTTGAGTTGGTGTCTCACTCTGTTGCCCAGACTGGAGTGCAGTGGCCGCTCCCGGCCACCGCAGCCTCGACCTGCTGGGCTCCGGCGATCCTTCCACCTCAGCCTTCCGAGTAGCCGGAATTACAGGCATGCGCTACCACGCCCGGCTGATTTTTTGATTTATTGTAAAGATGAGGTCTCGCTGCCCAGGCGGGCCTTGAACCCGCGGGCTCAGGCAATCCACTCACCTCAGCCTCCCAAAGGCGCGGGATTACAGGCTGAGCCACCGAGCCCGGCAGCAAACATTTTTGAGGTCCCATTATTTCGCCAGGCATTAGCTAAGTGCTAGGGTAAGAAATATAAATCAAAACAAAGTTCACAGTGGAAATGGAGACACATAACCATAGTGACAAAGGATATGATTGATGCTATGATAGGAAGAAGAGCAGGATGCTGTGAGGTGCCCCCGAACTGCAGTAGGCAGTGGAGAGGTTCAGGGACTGCTTCCTTTGAGGTGCCTGAGCTGAATCTTAAAGAAACCATCTCTTGGTGAGATCTGGAAATATACCACCCAAGTTTCAGTGGTGGATAATCAGTTTTCTACGCCAGTGGTCCCTCAGGTTTAAAGAAACTGAGTGGGGCCGTGGAGGAACTAGATTCACAGGGGAACTGTAATCCAAGCCACTGGGTTTGCTCTGTCTTTTTTGAAGCAATTATGAATAATGGGATTCTAAACTCTGGTATTTTGTTGGGACTTCATTCAGGTGCCACATATCTGTACCAGAGTGAATTCCAAGCAAATCAAAATTATTATGAGGACGTCTATCATTGTT